TGAATAGAATGAAGGCCTGAAATCAGAAAGACTCATTTTCCTGAGTTCAAATTTAGCCTCAGACTTGGGCAAGCCACTTAAAGCTGTTTGGCTCAGTTCCTCTTCTGTAAAATGAGCTGGAGAAGGAGGCGGAGCCAAGATGGCTGAGTAAAAGCCATCACTTATTTGAGCTCTCCCCCAAACCTCTCCAAATATCTGTAAAAAAAAATGACTCTAAACAAATTCTAGAGTAGCAGAACCCACAAATGGACAGAGTGAAACAAATTTCCAGCCCAAGACAACCTGGATGATTGATCAGAAAGGTCTATCGCGCCGGGCTGGAAGAGAAACACAGTTCAATGTGGGTGCTCGAGCAGGGAAAGACCAACTTTTGTATGAAATATAATCAAAATGATTTATTTTACATCCCGTGATGCTCTCTATCTCTTGTTTGTTCATCAACCTGTAACTCACTTACTTTCTCCTGTAAGAACTTGGATGCTATACCACTTGGTGTGTTTATGTTTGTATTGAAATTACTTAAATGTCTGTTACCTTTCAGAAAGATGTAGTTTCCTTTCTTATCTCTTCTTATTAGGCCTTTTTGCTTTTGCCTTGTCTGAGATAAGGATTGCTACACTTGCTTTTTTTATTGTTATTATTTTACTTCAGCTGAAGCATAATAGATCTTTCTCCAGCCTCTTACCTTTACTCTGCGTGTGTCTCTTTACTTCAGGTGTGTTTCTTGTAAACACTATATTGTAGGAGTCTGGTTTTTGATCTATTCTGTTATCCATTTCTTTTTTGTGGGAAGTTTCATGCCATTTACACCCACAGTTATGATTACTAACTGTATTTCCCTCCATCCTATTTTTCTTCCTGTTTGTCCTCTCTCTCCTGTCACTCTTTCTGTCCTTGACAGTGTTTTGCTTTTCTGTACCACCTCCTCGATCTGACTTCTCTTCTGTCACTTCCCTTCTGCCCTCCTGCCTTTACTTAATCTCCTCACTTCCTACTTTCCTTTGTGGTAAGACAGATTTGTATATTCACCTGTGTGTATATCATTCCCTCTTTGAGCCAATACTGATGAGAGTAAGGTTCAAGCTAATGCCCACTGCCCACCATCCCATCTTCCCCTCCACTGTAATAGGTCTTTTGCTCTTCTTCATGTGAAATAATTGACCCCCCTTCTGCCTTTCCCTTCCTTCTGCACCTGGACCTCTTTCTCATCCCTTAATTATTTTTCATGTCCTTACCTCAAATTCACCTTATACCCAACCCTCTGTCTATGTATATTCTTTCTAGCTGTAATTAGTGGTACAATTTTTAAGAATGACAAGTATTATCTTTCCATATAGGGATGTAAACAGTTCATCTCCATTGAATCCCTAATGTTCTCTTTTTCCTTTTTCCCTTATTAGAGTTTTCTTAGGTCTTGATATTTGGGGGTGAGATTTTTTGCTCAATTCTGGTCTTCTCCTTATGAAAGCTTGAAATTCATCCTTTCACCAATGACCATTTCCCCCCCCATAGTATTATGCTTAATTTTTCCAAGTAGGTGATTCTTCGTTGTAGGAGTAGCTTTTCTGCCTTCCTGAATATCATGTTACATGAACTCTGATCCTTTAATTTTGCAGCTGCTAAGTCTCGTGTAATCCTGATTGTGGCTCCCTGATAGTTGAATTGTCTCTTTTTTTTTTTGGCCACTTGCAGTGTTTTTCGTTGATTTGATAGTTCTGTAATTTGGCTATAATGCTCCTTGGAGTTTTTATTTGGGGAACTCTTTCCTGAGGTGATTAGTGGATTCTTTCAGTGCCTATTTGGCCTTCTGGTTCCAGGGCTTCAGGGCAGTTTCATCAATAATTTCTTGAAAGATACTGTCCGTATTTTCCTTTTGATTATGACTTTCAGGTAGTCCAGTGATTCTGAAACTGCCTCTCTTGGATCGATTTTCTTGATCATTTTCTTTTCCAATGAGGTATTTCACATTTTCTTCTAATTTTTCATTCTTTTGAATTTGTTTGATTGATTCTTGGTGTTTCATAGAGTCATTAGTTTCCACGTGCCCAATTCTAAGGGGTTTTTTTTTTTTGGTTTTTGGTGAGGCAGTTGGGGTTAAGAGACTTGCCTAGGGTCACAAAGCTAGCATGTGTCAAGTGTCTGAGGCCAGATTTGAACTGAGATCCTCCTGACTCTAAGGCCAGAGCTCTATCCACTGCACCATGTAGCTGCCCCCACAGAACAGAGAAAAACAAACAAAAACATATCCTGAACTTAAATATTGGAATTTGATTGGACAGTAAGAAAAGAAAAAAAAGCATGTCGTAAGAGAAGATTCAAAACATATAACAATAAATTTTCATTTAAAGAAATCGTGTATGATTAATACTACATGTTTTGTTGAGAGCTATCTTTTCTTTGTTTCCTTGTAAGTTTTCTTTTCTCCCTGCTATGCATTTTTTTTGTTTGTTCTTTTTTTCCCTCCCCTGGCCCAGAAGGCTACAATGCAGTGCAGATATATTCCTCTATAATTATATATACACACACATATATTTACATATATAGACATATGCATTCCCAAACAGATTCTACACCCGATCTTTGTTTTTATGTTTGTGCGTATCTCTTGGTTTTTTTTTTATCTCTCTTGAGTCTTCTACTTTATGTCTGCTAATTACCTTGCCCTTCTATTACTTAGCCTACCCCCTTCCAAATATCCCTCCCCTATCTTCCCATTCCCATAAGGTAAATACCCTTCTTAGCCCTTACCCTATCTCTAATTCCTCCTTTAGTTAACCCTCCTTGTCCTCTCCCCCTCCCTATTCCATCATCATTTTATGTCTTCTAAATTTAGAAGAGTTTTGTACTCTTCTTAATATAAATGCACACACACACACACACACACACACACACACACACAGAGTTTCCTCTTAAACCCATTTGTGATGTAAGTAGGTTACCAGAATACCAGCCCTCCTCTCCCATGTAATTCCCTGAATCAATTCTTCCTCTTGCACCTCATTTGTATAAAATAACTACTCTTTTTAGCTTTTCTAAATGATTTTACTTTTTAAAGTCACATCATACACAGGTCTACTCAAATCTTTTTAATGAGCTACGCAACTATTTATTTTTATTTATTTTTATTAATTTATTTTGAGTTAATCACTTCCTTATGCTTTTGAGTTTAAAATTTTTCTCCCCTTACTTCCCACCACCATCCCAAGACCGGCACAATCTGATATAGGCTATACTTTTACATTCCTATTAAACATAATTTTCACATTAGTGATGTTGTAAGTAAAAAAACCAGTAAGAGGAACCATCAGAAAGAGGAAACAAAACTCAGCAGAAGAGAAAAAAATAGTAATTCAACTTTCATAGCTCTTTCTTTGGACGTGGATGGCATTTTCCACCATAAGGCCTCTGGAGATGTCTTGAGCTACCCAATTATTAATAAGAATCTTAGACATATATTTTATGTTTTACATATATAAAAAGTAAACAGTTTGTCCTTATTGAGTCCCTCATAATCAGTCTTTGGTAGGTACCTTACATTTCTCTTGGCTTTTGTATGTTGATACTTCAATGAAGTTCAGGTTTGTTTGTTTTATTAACAAAATCTTGAAAATCTGACAGTTGATCAAATGTCCTTTTTCATTCAGGATTTGCTGAACTTTCTGGGTATGATATTTTCAGCTGGAACCCTAGTTCTTTTGCTCTTTGATACAGTGTTCTAAGACCTGTGGTCCTTTAATGTCTTTGCTTCTAGGTCTTGTGTGAGTCTAACTGTGGCACCATCACATTTAAATGGTTTTTCTTGGTTTTTTTTTTTTTAGTATTTTATCCTTATGCTGGGGGTTTCAGAATTTGACTATCATATTCCAAAGAGTTGTCCTCACAGGGTATATTTTAAGTGGTGATTGATGGAATTTTTTTCTATTTCTACTTTCCTCCCCTTGTTGCAATGCTTCAGGACAATTTTCTTTATTTCTTGTCTTATTGTATCAAGATTTTTTTGATCATAGCTTTCAGTTAATTCACTTATTTCCACGTTTTCTCTTCTGGATCTATTCTCCAGATCTGTTGTTTTTCTTATGTGTTTCATTTTCTCTTCTATTTTTTCATTATTCATTTTGTTTAATTATTTCTTGATTTGTTCTAATTTCTGGCTTCACCTTGCCCAATTCTAATTTTCAAGGTGTCATTTTCTTCCTTAAGATTCTGGATCTCCATTTCTATTGGTTGACTTTCATAGTCTTCTTGCTTTTTTGGCTTATTCTTATACTTATTTATTTATTCATTCATTTATTCATTCATTCATTCATTCATTCATTCATTTATTTATTTGTCTGTCTGTTAGTTTATTTGTTTGTTCATTTTAGTTTTCCTCCATCTCTCTTATTTGAATTTTTTTTTTCGTGCTACCTAAAGCTTTCTGACCAGGAGCTCAGACTCCACCACTGTTCCTTCTCTTTGGTCTGTCTAGAACAGTGACTATATATTAGGGAAAAGAAAATTATGGTGGCAGGCAGGAAATGAAGTCCAGGAGGTTACACTAGGCTGGGCTGGGTCAAGCAAGGGAAGGCCCAGCTTCAAGACTGAAAGACAGACACGCAGACAACCACCTGGACAGGTCATGTGACACTCTCCTGTTTCCCTCCTTCCCGGCTCCCTTGACCCTGCCCTCCCCCTCCTGGTATCCCCATTGACTATTCTGAGCAAGCCCCTCTGAGAGTTGCAGTCTTTGTCTTCTATCCCCAACAAACTGCCCCAGTGGAAATGTCCCTCACTTTTTGCCAGAGAACCATGCTCCAGGGTCTCCTGTATCAGTACCTTGGGCCTGGCTCTAGGCATGGGATGAAAATGGTCCTTGGTACCAGGATGCCAAAAAGGTTGCAAACCACAGCCCACTCCCACCCTGGGGTCTGCCTGTCCTTGTTTCTTGCTTCAGGCAGGTTGCCATTGGGGCTGGAGGGAGATGAGATGCTGCTTCATCCCAGGGATGGGGTGGGGGCCATCTAGGCCCTTGAGCTCCCCTGGGTATCTGTCACTGTTTTAGATGAACTTCTATCAGAATCTATTTCAGCACTGTGCTGCTGCTGTTCCTGTTGCACCCTCAGACGAATTGCCCCGAGGAGAATCAGGAGAAACTCTTAGTCAAAGCAACCTCGCTTCTCCCCAAAAGGTTCCTCCATTTGAAGATCTTGGAGGGATAGTCGGTCTTTGCATGCCACCTCATAGATGTCAGAATACTCTAGAAAGGACTTCTCCATCATACCCCTCAGGGGCTTAGGGCAGAGATATCTTCCCTCCAGCATGTCACAGCCTGACACTCTGAGGGTCTCGTGCCAGATATACTCATTGTACTTTTTGCTGTCTCCTGGGTGTTTCTCCCGCTCAAAGCCAGGCTCATTGTGGTAGGGGTTTTCATTCATTAGTGACTGGATGGAGATCAGCACTGAGGAGATGCTCTGGGCTGGGCTCCAGGCAGGGCCATCCCAAGTCCCCAGAATACTCAGGCAGACTTTCCCACTGCTGTAGAAGTTGGGGTTAAACCTCACCCTGTTATTGCCCGTGGTCATCAATTTGACCCTCGGTGGGCGGATGGGATAATCTGGAGGACAGCGAACCAGGAACAAGAAGAAGCCCCCTTCATAAGGAGTGTCAAACGGGCCCTTGCTCAATGCATGGATCTTAGTCATGTCCAGGGAATCCAGCACAACAAACACGCCGGGGGGAGGCTCCTTGTAGAGGGCGGTGACGTCCCGCTTGATTCGCAGCAGGCACTGCTGCCCGGGGCTCTTGCTGTCCCAGTCCGAGCTCCGCGTCAGGTCCCACACGGACAAGGGAGGGAGCGGGGCGGCCCCATAGGCAGCGGCCGAGGGAGGGAAGGGCGGGAGCCCGGGTGGTGGGGCCAGGCCTCCCCCGGCTCCGGGCGCCGCCCGCGCCCGAGGCCGAGGTCCCCTCACCTTCGGCCCCGGCAGTTGCCACCTCCGCCGTGGGACTCGCCACCATCGCCACCACTTCGCTCCACTTCCGCTTCCGAGACTCCATGCCAACCAGTCCGCCGGCCACAGCGGCCTCTCCTTCGATTTTTTTTCCAGCCAAAGACAAGGTTTACTAGAACATTCCTAACAAGGCCACACTCCTCCCTCTAGAAATCGCTGGAGGTAAAATTATCCTCATTATTATTATTATTATTATTATTATTATTATTATTATTATTATTATTATTAAAAAATCCTGAGATTTCCATAGGGGGATTCAGGTGGGAAAATCTTAGTTTCATTGTACTACATTACTACATTATACTACATAACAAAGCCTCTCTTTTCAGCCATTTAGAATTGAAATGAATAAAGGAGAAGAAATTAACCAATTTAGACAAAAAAGTCAACCGGAAATATAAATGTTGTCTGGGATGTTGGTTTTGATAATGCCAAATCCACAATTTAAATTCTCATTTGTATTTCAGGTATGAGATGGAATTAATCTATGATTTTAATTTGCAGAACCTGGTTAAGTAAAGAATATAAGATATAATCTTTCATAAATACGATCCATACAAATTTCCATTGGTTTAAATAAGCAATATTTTCTTCCCATTTGCTTAAAGGATTTAACATTAATTTTCCAAACATAAAAACATTCTGACACAGCATGTAACATTATAATAGCAAAGCCAATTTGACTCTTAGAAATATTTTTAAAATTCCATTTTTTTCTCAAAAGTTGTCATTTAAATTACATTTATCTTCTGTGTGGGATGCCACTCAAATTAAAGAACATACAGAGGTATCCAAGGAGAAACAGAAAGTTAATTTAATATTATTATTATTTCAAATCTCGAGATTTGGGTGTCCCTCCACCAGGATGCTCTGATGAGGGGAGACACAGACGGAAGCAAAGGACCTGATTCAATAGCCCTAATGGGCAAATTCCCCCCTCCCACCAACTGTCCACTGTTTGGCTCACATTCTCAATGTACCATAGAAACTGAAAACAAAACAATGAACACAATACACATTTCTATATTTCTTAGTTTGCTGAAGTAATACCAAAGAAGCAATTAAAGATGTGCAGTCAAGCTAGACACTGTATTGTATAGCCAGATCACCATGACCGACAACAGCAACAGGTGCATCAACAAAATACCGGGGTTGGGGGGCAGGGCTTCTTCAGGAGTTTCAGGTTTGGCAAACTTTAACTACTGAGCAATGACATAAGGAGGTGGTTACTTGGGGTTGAATTCCCATAAATCAGGTGATTTCTAGTAAATTGAAACTTAGGCCTGTCGGGCTGCTATGCCTGCCTTGAGTCTAATACAATTTCTATTTATTCTTCTAAAAAGTTTTCACAGGACCCCTCATCCCACTCAGCCTCATCCCAAACCTTAATTACACTGAGGAGTCTTCACTAGGACATCCCATTCATCTTCTAAAATATTATTTCATCTACTTTCCCTTAACCCTAGAGTACATTAAATATTTTAGAGAAAACAAGTTTCAATATTCAAAGTGACAAATCTTAAGTTTAGTGGAAAATAATACTGAAGACAAATTTTTACTTTCATGCGAAAAAAGTGTAAGAAAGCAAAAGATTAAGGACAGTAAAGAAAAATTAAAAATTAAATGAAAGAAACCTGAGAAGAATAAAAAAAGGCAAACGTTTGTAACACAATATGCGAATGTAGCCAGGAAATCACAGGAAGACAAGAGGACCTGTATTGTTCACTAGTTGGTATATCGCTGGGCACAAGGAGGGACTAAAAAATTTCCTAATCCTCGAGATACAGGAGTCCTCGAGAGTCTGCTGATTGGCTAACAGGCACCACGATGAAAACAGCCTCTGTGAACAACTATTGGCCACATGTTAAACAAATAGAGATGGTGATTGGATCTCAGCAATAAAAAAAAAATGTTTGAATTAAGTAACCTGCCTAAAAATGATTTAAGTAAAACAATCCTCAGTTATTCGAAACAGATCAGCAAACACAATAAGAAACTAAATTAATACTAAAACGAAAATGGAGTTCAGAAAAAACCTACCACAGTTAAACAGCAATCTAATAAAAATACAAGATTACATGCTAAATGCTAGATTTTAATAGTAAAATAAAAATGAAAACCTTAGACAAAAACTCTGAAAGAAAGAAAAAAGCTGCAATAATGAAATACTCATATGCCTTCATAATTTCAACAAGTCACTGACCTCAAACACTTCCTACCTATGTAACCCCAGACAAGCAGTCCCTTAACCCTGCTTGCCTGACTTTCCTAATCTGTAAAATGAACAAGAAAAGGAAATGGCAAATCACTCCAATATATTTACCAAGAAAATTCCAAATGGAGCCCCCCCCCAAAAAAAAAAATCCTTATTATTATTATTATTATTACTCAGCAAAGGGAACAGGAGCATTTAAACGGCAAAAGAAAGGAACCACTACTACAAAAACCCAAAGAAGGCACACTATTTAGATAAAATTAGTGTTGCCAAAAGATTCAATGACATCAAGTAACACTGATATAAAGAAGATTAAATTCACCAAGTAATAACTTTTAATTTGGAGAAAGAAAAGTGTATTTGTACACCACCAAGTAAAAAGGCAAAAACCAGGTACATATAAAAACTATAGAAAAGTAAAAACTCTACTCTGGATAATTTACTTTTGAATTACTGTTGACATCTGAACTATGTGGATAAGTAGAAAAGAATATACTTTTTTCAAAACAAAACTTGTACATTTAAGGAAAAACACATTCCTACATTGGTCATGTTCTGAAATATATGTATCACTCTGTACTCTAAGTCCATCACCTCTCTTTCAAGAAATGAGTGCATGCAAGGGTGTGATGGTAAAAGTTGAATAACTGTCAGGGAAAACTATACACACAACTCAAATTTTTCAAATAATCTAGATTTTACTTAACTTTTTCTTTTCTTTTTTTTTACTTTCTTAAGTCTCACCAATCAACAAAACAACAAATGGAGCTCTAACTGTTCTTAATCATGGAGGATCTAAGGAATGTAATGATCAATGAATTAATTTACAAGGTTTTTTTAAGTTTGTGAGGTAACTTCTTATGCTTTCCCTTTCTTCTTTTTCTGCTTTCTATAACTTTACTTGCTTTCCAGGGGCCTAGAAAAACTTTTTATTTACCAATTTTAACAAAAATGGTTTAGTATGCATGATAAATTTTGTAACTAAAAATGTCATAATGGCATATAAAATAAACATATATGAAATGAGAATAAAAATTTTTTGATTTTTTTATATTCATTAATTGTTTACTTAAATTGGAACCTCCATATGGGCAAGGATTGTCATCTATTTACATTAGCCTCTCACTAATATATATATATATATATATATATATATATATATATATATATATATATATATATATATATATATATATATATATATATATATATATATATATATATATATATATATATAATAGTACTCAAGAATAGTGAATAGGAATACAAATCACTGATTTCAAATACAATATATTTTCAAAATAAATAATTAAAGATTAACATTGTTATTTAGTAATACTACAACCATTTTAATTTTGACAGTACATTTCTCACCAGTTTCACATGCTTACTTGGGAAATAAAACGTTATTTGAAAAATTAATGAAATGTACCCGAGGCTGGTGCCAATTTGTACAAATTTGTATATGTTTGTTTCAACTCTTATCAGAGTAATTTTTGAAATGTGACATCTGAAAGGTTCTCACTTATTTTCTTTGCCAAATATCGTACGTGATCCAAAAGATAAAAAAAAACTAATGCTCTTTTATTATAGATTATGATGCATGAAATTCAAGAATGTCTTCTATTTCCTATGCACAGTCCCTTTTACCTAAAAAAAATAGGTGCCTTCAGTGTAAAGTATATGCAAACCAGAAACGAAAATTATTGAAAAAAAATCTTGGAAAATAAAATGACCATTATTTTATTTCAGTCATCTTGCTGACATACACACATAGACACACATACACAACTGGCTGGCTTGTGACCAGAAATACTTAATGCATTTCATGTGGAGATAGGGTTTTTGAATGTTTCCAATTTATCTTCCCTGATTTCTGTATTGAAAAAAAAAACTTTCTGCTTCTAAGACAAACAAAGTCAGCATTTGTTTTTTAGGGGTTGAGAAGTGTTATTTCTAGAACTACTGGAAAGCAAATATTTCATGAGGAACTTCAACTTTACAATTAGTTTCAAGACAGAAGTTACACTTGCTTCTAACTGGAACTAGCAACACCATCAACTTCTTGAAAAATGCTTACCCCAAATAATACACTTGAATAGAATAATTATAACAATCTATATTTTAAAAATAAGATTCCCATTTTACAAAATGCAAGATGTATTCAAATGCATTTTTGAGAAATGTTTCTATATAACCACAGCCTTATTTCCTTTTCCCCTCTGTAATTGTTCAAAGGGCATCATCCAAATTGTCATATAGAATCAGTTTTCTATAAACCAGCTTCTAGGTAATTTATTCTATTCCATTATTTCCTGAAGAGCTTTTGTATAGAGTTTAGTTTTTCTTTAATTTCTTGCAATAGTTTTTACTTTGATGTTTTACCTTCACAGTTTTTGGTCCAATCTCCCAACATCTCCACCCCACCAATATAATATTATAATTCAGTTTTGCTGGGTGGGTAGTTTTTGCTTGTAAGTCAAGCTATTTTTTTGGTGAGGTAATAGCCTGACATATGGTAATTTCTCTTATTCACAAGAACTTCTTCCCAGTCCCCATTCCCTCCTGTCCTATTTTCCTTACTTTCTCTCTTTTCTCTATTTCATTTTTCTTTCTTTTCTGTCATTAATCCCTTAAATTTTCTACCAAATATTTTTTATCAAATACATGTTTGTGTATGTCTCTCCTCCCCTGCCTTCCCCCATTAAAAAGAAATAAATTTTGATCAATTAACAAGATCTACTGTAAATAAGAGATTAATAAAACTAACAGCAAGGATAAAAACCCTGAAGTAACAATAAAATTAGATTTGTAGAAAATAAAATATTGCTACCCTCAGAAAGAAAACTATTGGAATCTATCT